ATTTATACTTTACAAAAATACTTTAGGAATTTAGTTAATTCTCCTTTTTTGGTGTAGTTACTTTGATTTGATTCTGAGTCAAAGAGTTTCTCTATTTCTCTCATTTTAGCTCACGAAGAGTTTTCTGAACTTCTTATGGGGCTCTGTGAAATAACATTCACTGTAAACTCATTACCAACTGCTACAGAGCAAAAGAAATAAAGAATTTGACTCGGAGTTAGAATAATACAACAATAACCTCTTTGACCAGGTCAATACATTTGTCTGATTTAACCCATAGTTTGTTTCCCACATGTTCAGAGTTCAGTATTACAGCCCTGAGGAGCCTCTCACTGATCAGACCTCTGCTTCAACTCTGGGTTCAGCCTCTTCTTCTCCTCCTTTTCTTTTTGTCGGTTCTCACAGATTCTCACATGCAGACTTTTGGACTCTCGGTGCTGAGCCAGCGAAGAAAACAAACACACTGTCTCCCCAAAACTTGTTATCCCTCCATGTTTTCTCTTTCTACCCACAGGCCCACCACCGCACCGGCCCGAGCAGGAGTTGGTGTTGCAAGGTTTCACCGCTGGGTGTTTGTTTGTGGAGTTTGAGGGAAGCTGTCATGATGTCACCACCAGACGGCAGACAGGATTTTTCCCCCTCTTGCTCCCTCCAAGCCAAACAGATGAGATCAACTCATATTTCCTGATGTTCCCGTCTCTGTCGCCAGATAGAGCACCACAGCATCCAGTTTAAAATATGGCACCGATATCTCAGCCCAAAGGCATCAGTATCTGCTCGTCTGCTCATTTACCAGTTGCCATATTTTTTCTATGAAAATACAATTTTCCCTGTCAAGGCCCAGGCATCTGCAGAGTCTCTTACATTCAGGGATGATGGTGATAAGGCTGCAGCTGTTGTCTGGCTGCTATTAAGAAAATGTGAGTCTTTGAAACTGGAGAAGAACAAACACGATTTGTGTTTGTTAAAAAAAAAAAGAAATGCAATTGTTTTGGAGAATGACGCCACAGTGAGGATTATTCTCCTTTAAATAAACGAACTGGAATCATCAGCAGATCAACACAGACTCTTCCAGGAGGTGAAATGTTGAACTGTGAGTCCAGGAAGTGGATGTGCAATGCTGTGGTTGTTTAGTGACATCTACTGGTTCACAGATGTAGGTGGAACTTAATTGATACATGAACCCTGTAATATCGGCCTTTTGCCTGATTTTTGTGGTACTTATGTCATAAATCTTGGTCTGTTATGCAGCAAAACACCAGAGGTTAAAGGGATAGTTCACAGAAAAATTAAAATCCCCTCACCATCTACTCACCACTACGCCGATGGAGACATGGTGGAAGTGTTTGAGCCCACAAAAAAACTTTTGGCGTCTCAGGGGTTGCAGCCAAATCCAATGCAATTGAAGAATCTTTTTCGACTCTGTTTACTCCTGAAACTCCTGAAAGTGTTTTGTCGACTGAAATACTTCACCCACCTCTCCATCATAGTGGTAATTTTAATTTCCCTGTGAACTATCCCCTTTAATTTGCGCGTTTTCTTCATCTGCAGTGTGTGACTTCTCTCGGCCACCGTATCGCACATTATTCAATTTTTTTTGTTTGCATTTATTATTACACACAGAATTAAAGCATGATGCTAAATTGCACATTTACTTTTTTTTTGACTGATTTATTTTATCATCCCGAATGTCGTGGTACCCACTGGTTACCGTCACCATGGTTACCGCTGGAAGCCCCGTGCAGCGCGGCACCAGCTTGCAGCCGCGGCAAACGGCCGACAGGGGGCGCAGCGTGATCGGGTGTCGCTGCTACCGGGGAGAGAACCGGGGGCAGATCCGAGGAGCGGACCCGAGCCACCGCGGGGCTGCTCAGCTGCGCTCACACCGCCCACTGGTGCCTCCTCCGGGGTTTTTCTTCGTCCCCGCTCGGCTCGTTCCCCGGAGAACCATGGTGGCTAAGAGCAGAAAACAGACCGGGAGGAGTCCGGCGACCCCGGCTGACCGCGACAGGAACCCGCTCGCGTCGCCCCCCGGTAAAGGCGGCGGCGGCAGGCGGCCGGGCAGGGAGGGCAAAGCGTTCCCCGGCTCTCACCCCAACGGGCTCTCCGGCATCGGACACAAGCTCGGGCTGAGTCCCTCGGCGCTGGCGAAGCTGGGGATCACCCTCCTCCTCGGTAAGTTGTGCAGGCGTTAGCCCGTTAGCCGCTAAAGCTAGCGTCGTCCTCACGTTCCATCCCGTAGCATTAGCGCTAAATTAAGTTATCGCCGCCGTGGATCTGCGGGCTAACGTTAGCTCACCGGAGCCGTGTAGCTGCAGCGGTTAGCCTCCTGTTGTTCGTTCGAACCCCTTTGAAGCGGCCGCCGCGGCTCGTGCAGCTCCACACGTGTTAACAGGTTTTTTTTTTTCTGGTAAAGTTGAAGCTAACGTTGTTGTGGTGGTTTCTCCTCCATCACTTTGCACCAGGATGCAAAACAATCAAGTGGTGTTCTGAGTTTTTTTAAAAAATGTTTTATTGTCTCTGTGTCCACAGCGGCTCTGTCCGGGTTTCTGCACTGGTGAGTTCGTCGTGTCTTCACTGTGTGTTGTGTTGTTGCTGCTCCATCGCTTTGTGTTCACACGTGAGCTCACGCTGCCCTCCCTCCATGTTCAGGCACCATCTCTCTCAGCTGTTCGAGAATGACAGACACTTCTCTCACCTGTCGAACCTGGAGAAGGAGATGGCTTTCAGGACAGAGATGGTAAAAATACAAACTTTATTGTTTTATAATTGTCTTCATTGAGGAGGATTCGTGAAGAGTGTTACGAGACTGACGTTGATTGGTATAATTGCAAGAGCATAGTATTTATATTTCTAGACCACTTTACAAGGAGCAGTTCAGGGTTTAGTATCTTGCCCAAGGACACTACGTCTTGCAGACTGGGATCAAACAGCTGGACCTCTGGTTTAAGGACTCTCACCCCTGAGCCGCAGCCGCCCCTTAAAGAATAGCTTCACATCCTCACCTCCAAGGGGGTTATGTTTCCACCCCCCGTCTGTTTAACGATATAGTACAATGACGCGGTGTGCGTCATGAGCCCTTTTAGTTTTGGTGTGAATACAAGAAGTTTTTTGACATTTTCACTGATTTCTCATGGAATACTTTCTGGATCCAGATGAAAAAGAACAGGCACATTAATCATTGATCATTTGTGTGCAACTTAGTGCAGCTTGATTGGATTTTTAGCGGACCCTCGGGCCTTTGGTGGCGGCACGGCTCTTCTGAGTGTCATTCCAGTTTAAGTCTGTGTTCAAATAATAATAATCCTGTGCTCGTTTGATGATTGTACCAGCTTTTGTTTGATTGCAGTTGTTTCCCCTCGTGCGTACAGGCCGTCGAGAGATCACTTCAGTGTTGGGGGACATAAACCCACAGTTCTCACTCTGTGCAATAGCTTATTCCAGAGTTTATCTGCAGCTCATGTGACGCTTCAGAAGTTTTAGGTTACAGAAGTAAAGTGGATATCTTCCAAAGTTACAGTCTGTGAAATATTCCCTCTGCCACAGCTCAGCATGAAATCGAGCTAATTTGCCTTTGAAAATTCTGAAAGTTTGTTAGATTTCCTCATCTGCACAGAAACGTCCTGTTGGCTTCAGATAAACACAAGGACGTTTTTTATTGAAGATGGATTCTAGAGGATTTCTTTGCCCCTTCACTTGCATGATCAGATAATAGTGAGATGCATGCATTCTGAAAGAACAAGACATCACTGTGTAAGCATATGTAACCATTAGAGCCCAAACCATTAACTGATAAGCCGAATGACAAATTTATCTACAGGTAATTTCATCATCAATCATTTTACTTAGGTAAAGCACAAACATTCCCTGGCCGCTCTCAGAGGAAATTATGCGGCGAACGATTCGCTTTATTCAGACATTTTGTCGACCAAATGATAAATCGATTTAATAAAGAGAGAAACAGGCACATTATTGATTTAAAACAAGCATGAGTTGTGTTCAACTAGATTGCCCAGCTGGGAATGAAGGAAGTAATGTCAGCTTTTGAAATGTGGTTTATAGATGAGCATAGAACAGAGTGATGAGAAACTGTAGATCCTCTGGCAGCAGTTTTAAACGTGGCAGTGGATTATTTTTTCTAAAGCCAGGCGCTGGAATTGCACCAGAAAAATGACGTCTGCATGAACCAACCGAACGTGTAAAACAAAGTAGAACGAGGTAGAACTCTGACCTTTGAGTTCGCTGGATGGTAGATTGCACCACATAAGGGAACACAGCCGTTGTATGTCAACTGCACGGGATTAAGGGTCGACCATACTGTCCTTGTTCTGTGTCAGCTGAGAGTCGAGTAGTCGTCCTGGTCACGATTGGTTCCATTCACAATAAAATGAGCGTCTGCATCGATGGCGTCCAACACACGTCTACATGATCCCACATTCCATCAGATATCTTGTACCAGGAACGTACAACACATACAGTTAAGCAAGGTCACAAATTTTAAGATGCATGTGAACGTCTGCATAGGTGCGTGTCCTAACTGACATGGGTGGGCGATGACATTCACATCTTAGGGCCACAGTGGACGTGGGAGCTTTGAATTCACCTTTCGGATCCGCGTCAGGGACAGAGGGAACATTTGCAAGGCAGAGTTCGTATGTGACCAAGTGCTGCGTCTCTGCATCATCTGCACAATCAGAGAAAATCATACGTTCCTCCCACAGCATTACGAACGTGACTCGCTCTTCAGATCTGACATCGGTTTTCAAAATGTGCAAGTCATCGACAGGCGTCTAGTTTCTGAGTTTGTCTCTCACTTTCTGTCTTGGACACTGCAGAGCAGCTGCACAAGGTCAGAAACTCAGAATCTGCAAAGACTCGCGATTTTAATGTCACACTTTTTTTTTTTTTTTTTAAACAGTAACTGTGTAAAAGCTGCTGAAGCTTGACGCGCTCCCCGAGCTTCACGCCCTTTTTAGAGATGACACTGAAGGTGACAGTTTAATCGTTTGCAAACAGAATATTTTTCTTGCTCCGTTCCCACTGTGTTGGAGCAGATGGGCTGTGTTACTCCCTCCTGTGTCTTCAGGCTGAGCTGTCTGAGTAGAGTTATATTCAAGGTCTGTCTCTATGTATCACTCTGCGGTGTGTCTCCCTTTCCCCTCCTTCACTCTGACTTGACATTTCTCTTTCTAAAAATCTCCACCCAACAATCCTCTCCCTCATATTGACTTTTATTGAGGTTATGAGTTTAATCTGTCGTTTGTACTTTCTCTTTGACTCCAGGGCCTGTACTATTCCTATTATAAAACCATCATCGAGGCTCCCTCCTTTCTGGATGGTCTCCACATGGTCATGAACGATCGGCTGACAGAGTACCCCCTGGTTATCAACACGCTGAAGAGATTTAATCTCTACCCAGAGGTAATGTTCACACGATATTCGTATCATTTGTAGGGTGGTAGCATTACTCATGATATTCTTTAAAAGCTCAGATTTTAGGTTCAAAATTTAAATTTCTGTTGTTTCTTGAAAACGGTTTCAAGCTCTAATGTTCTGCACACTTTCCTCAAACTGTCCATTGCAGCAGCTCCTCTTTTCAGCCACTGGAGCGAGGACTCAAATAAAACATTTGCTTCTGATGGCAAAGCAGACAAACCTGTTATTACATCTCCTACTGTCTCATTAAGTAGAGTAGTGTAGGAAACATCCATGTTCTGTAGCAGCTTCTCATTAACTCAATGACAGGCTATAATTAAACTCGCTGTTGTCTGCAGCAGGGTGTAAACTAATGACTCAGTTAATGACACTCTCTGCTTCTTCTGTATAGTTTAAAATTGGTTTTACACTGATATATTTCGGTCCTTCACTGAAGCCAGGTGAACTACAGCAGAAGCCACAAAGATATTCAGAAGAGATCATCATTTTCACCTCAGGGAAGTCGTCAGGAAAAGTAAACAACTTGTAGAGGACAACAAAGTGTCTCCACTCCTCAGAGGAAACGGGACAGAAAGGTCCTTTCAGACGTGCTGTTTGAACAGGTTTCTCACCGATTGTCCTTCCTCCGTCTCTTCTCCTCAGGTGGTCCTGGCCAGCTGGTACCGCATGTACACAAGTGTGATGGGCTACTTTGGGATTCCCACAAAGATGTGCTGGTCCATCAACAGAGGAGAAGGACTCACGCCCGTGGACAGCTGCGAAGGTACACACGCTGTCGCCATGGAGCTCTTACACTCAATCTGTTACAGACAGTTGGTTGAAATGCTGTGATATCTGCATTACACAAGAATATAGTATCACAGTAATGACCCAGAGCTACACTGACATTTAAAATACTCACTCTGACTAATCTTCACAAGCTTTGATGATTTTCTTCACTCATGGACAGATGCAGTTAAAAAGTCTCTTGAGGAGCAGTTCAGAGAAAATGTATAAATTTATAAGGAGAGAACTGACGGAAGGAGGAAGCTCTAAAGATTCCCGCTGAAGCGTTTTTGCTCAATGAAATTAATTTTGGGGAAAATGCTTCTTTGCGTTCTTGCCATTCAAAACACTTGTTTGTCAGTTCACAATTTGGCTGCAGCCAGATGAGCTAGCTTAGCTTAACATGACAACTGGAAACAACCTGTCCTGACTCTGTCCAGAAGGTAAATAAGAAACCTGCTCTCCAGCACTTGTGATCAGATCTTTAGTGACAGATTCATATTAGGTCAGAACGAGGCCAACTTCTGACTAATGAACACATTAAATGTTAAAGCTGAATCTGTTACCACAAGAAGTGTAAGACCAATAACAAATCCTGGCTGTACAGTGGTTTATGTACCAGACTGTCTTGTCGTCGCTGTGAGGTCAGTCAGTGGAGTTTTAATACGATAAGTCGGCCAAGATTCTTATTCTCTAAAGAGTTAAACTATTTATATAAAAGTTTTAGGAAACCAGCAGATACTGTGAAGTATTTGTGAACATGAAATAATATTTAGGATGAAAATTAATTGATTATTTAGAATTATGCCAATAAAAAAAATATTTAGATTAATTAACTGACTCAGCATTTTAGTGCCATTGTCAGTAAAAAATAAAAACATGTATTAACATAGAAGGACTCATGAAATCATGTCAGGCATTGTTTGACATTTAGGAATCAAATCACAGCAAAAACAAATAGCAGAACAACAGGTCTAACACCGCAGCAGTAAGAGAAACACAATATGATTTTTGTAGCCCAGAGGGCAAGAAGAATAAACGCAGGTGTAGTTTCTTTTCCTCCATATTAGTAAATCTGACAGTTTAAAAAGGAAAGCATTTGTCAGCTTTCTTTGTTGAGCTGAAATCTCTGTTTGTCTCATTAGTAGAGTGAAGCAGCGCCGGGTCAACGTACACAGGTTTATTCACTGTGTTTACACAAACATGTCACAAGCTGCCGTGCATACGAGCGAACAGTCCCACTGACAGAGTGGAGAGGTTTATATTTTCAGGCCGAGCTGTTGTTGGATCACGTTTCCACACTCCGTTGTTTTCTCCCAGTGATTTTCAGTCACATCCTGGTGATGAAACAGCTTTTTATAATTTCAACACGTTCCGGAGTATCTTGTTAGTCATTACAGTCTCATCAATCTGTTCTGTGTACCTGCTAATTTTGCTGCCGGCGCTGCTGAAAGCAAATTATTCAGCGGTGCTGGAAATACAGTTTCATTCAGGGTGAGAAGCAAAAACGTGCTTTCAGCCACCTGTTAAAATTCAGGAACCCATATTTTCTGCGTCGCAACTCAACGTGTGATTATTCGGTGTAGTATATTTTTATATCTTCTGTTATTTGAAGCTGGTCAAAGGGAACATGTTCTTTAACACTTCCCCAGATGTGAAATAAAATCGAGGTCTTTTACGATCCCTCGTCTTTTTTTTGCGGAAACGATCCTTTCGCCTGAAGTCTTCTTATTACAGTGTACATTGTGTGGCAACGCTCTGCTTTATATTTTAGAATGTATTTGGTTTTATGTCGTGAGTAAGTGCATTGTTAAACATTATTAGACCCTTGACAGTAGTTTATGTTTAAGTATTTGCATGAAAGGTCCAACAATATTATACAGAAAAGCACAAGTACTGTATACATATACACAGGTTATATATGTTAGAAACACGTATTTTTATTCTTTAGGTTTTTTGTTTTTGTATTTTTTCTCAATTGTGTCTGAAAATAACAAGAAGCAACAGAAAACCTCAGGGGATCAGGGTATTTGGTTTATTATAGCAGCCAGGAGCTTTGCAGAATTACTGCTTCTTTCATGGGCTATTTTTGCTCTGACCTCACTTCAACAAGTTGGAGTGCTTCAAATGATTCAGCACCCAAGATCCAAGAGGTGCAGTGTGAAGGAGACTTGACCCTTTCCACATCATTAAAGAAAACTGAAGGTCTAGGAGGATTCAGAAGTGTTGTGAACACAGTTTCCTCTCTTCTGTGTTGATCAGAACTTTTACACTTAATAAAAAATAACTGACATCTTCATCTTCTGCCCAAAACCAAAATATTTTCTGTCTGTGCCAATGAAAAACAGAGAAAAGCTTTAAATTCTCAAAATTGAGAAGCAGAATTTTTGTGCATTTTGGTTTATACACTATGAAACAATTATCTAACTATTTGGCAAATAATTCTTCCATTGACAAATCAAATGATCAATCTTTGTACTTGTGACAGACTCGGAGAGTTCTTCTCTCCATCAGTAAACCCTGATTATGAAAAAGGCTCAACACACTCTCTGTCTCTCTGTTTGTGTTGTGCACATTAGGGATGGGGGATCCAGCGTATTTCTACGTGGCCTGTGTGTTCGTGCTGAACGGTTTGATGATGAGCCTGTTCTTCATCTACGGCGCCTACCTCAGGTAACTCCGCTCGGTCCTGTCATGCTCTGATGCTGGAGGAGAGTTTTTCAGTGCATCTCACCTGTCAGCTGTCGAACCTTAACAAAAAAAAGAAACTGTTCTGTGGTTTGTCTCCTGGATTTGACCGATCCGATGAAGGATGACCTTTCTGAATCTGTCTGCTTCTCTTCTCACTCTCCATTTTCTCCCTCCCAGTGGCAGTCGGCTGGGCGGCGTTGTTACCACCATGTGTTTCTTCTTCAATCACGGCGAAGTGAGTGCTGCCCTTGCCCCTCTTTACTATCATTGCCAGTGAGTCAGGATTTGAATGCTGAAGCTTTGTAGCTCAGTGCGAGCCTCTCTGGGTCTAAGCTTCTGAAATGTGTAAAACTAAGAATTAAAAAAGGCTCTCGGAGGAGCAGAGGGTGGTTAATAGGAGCTCATTTCATTTCCCTCAAAGGAGCTTAGAGTTGTTTTGGGCTGGCACTCACAGCCGAGTCCCTCCACCCACCTCCTTTTCTCCAGTTTCCGCCAGAACAAATTGTGAGTCTCTATTTTTCCGGATCAATACGCCGACATTTCAACACACTGTGTTTTTCAGTCCTGTCAAACATCCTGTTCACCTCTTTTCATCAGTGGTTTGTGGCGTTTCAGCAGCAGCTGAAATGTTTTTTCTTTGAGGAAGTTATGGGCTGGTTATGTGTTCTGAGGTGAGATAATACTGACGTGCTAAGTGTTTTATTGCATATAAATAGTGATGGAGAACTTGATCAAGTGCTAAAGACATTTCTCTTAATGCAGAGTCCAATACTGATATACTGCTGCAGAGCCCGGCCGATATTATTATTTGGGGGCAGATGCCAATATCAATATTAGCAAGTCAAGTGTTTCCTGCTACATCGTCCAATATATTCAGTGTATTCTTAGAAATGTCAACTATTTGTAATATGTCGTCATCACACTCTTGAGACTTGATATTTTACAGCTTAGCCATACTTTTTTATTATAAACAACTAATAAACACAGATACTGTCTCATAATAGGTTTGTGTGCTCTCTTCAACCTCTTTCCTGTTCTCAACCAAACAACAGCCACATGTAATTGTTTCCTCTTATAAAGTGGCCAAAGAGCAGCTTTGCCAAATGAGTGGGACGAGGTGGACAAAACACAGCAGAGTACAATAACAACCAAAAAAGATCAGTTGAGGCTCTGCTCAGTAGACCTCTACACTGAATATCATGTGCTGCGTGTAGATGTAATGAAACCTGCTAACAAACAATATAATAAAACTTTGGACTAAAACATCTGGCAGATAGATATATATGCAAGTCCTGGGAGAATCTACCAGCAGCAGTAACAATTGGTCAGTAAATTGTTTTGTCCAAATGGTAGAAAAGCTTTCACAGTCTCTGTTGCATGTGTGAATTGTTCTATCCGACATATGGCAGAGGTCTTAAATTCGCAGCTCGCAGACTGTGTGTCACTTCCATAGGAACTGCAGAGGAAATGCATCGTTGCTCAGTGAAGCTCACCCACCGCGATGCTTCGGTTTGCTTTTAAACATGTTTTCTTTTTTTTTTGTGTTTGTTCGTAATCAGAGCACTCGTGTGATGTGGACTCCGCCACTGAGGGAGAGTTTTGCTTACCCCTTCTTAGTCCTGCAGATGCTTCTTCTCACCTACATCCTACGGTAAACTCACATTCAGTCTCAAGCAAGTTTGCACATAAACCACTGGATGGATGGTCATGAAACTTGGTGGAAGGATGGGTCAGGGAATTTTGGTTGTGGATCCCGATTGGGGGGGGGGGGTGCAGATCTAAGATTTTCTCAGAATATTAGATGGATCTTTATGAATAAAATTGGAAGGGGAGGGTGACGTGAGGGGTGTTCAGCTGCAACATGAAATGTTAACACTAGATATCACAAAATTCTACACACTGTACCTTTAAGGAAGTGTTGGGCCTCGGTTTCTTTGGTTTTAACATAAATTTAAAAGCTTAATCAGCGACGGCCCATTACATCTATTGCTCTACTAATCTGAATCTAACAATGTTTATATGTTAAATACACAAATATATGCATTTTGATTGAGAAATGTGATGTTGTCAAAAAGCATTTGTATTTCCTTCATCCTCTCACCCTGTTGAACTATAAATGTGTGAAACAACCAGCGCGGCGATAATCAGAAAGCTGTTTCCTTGTGACATTAAAGCAGAACAGGCTACAGACACATTTTAACAGTTTGCCCTTTGTGTGGTAATAACTGTGCTGAAGCAGAGCGGGCTTGTGTTGTCGACTAGATTGTGCACAGACGCAGCCTCTTTGTTGAGCTGAAGCACTTGTCACAGATTAGTCTCACTGCACGTCAGAGAGTGGACGCCACCTTGTGTTGTGTGAGCTCAGTCAACAGTCAACTACATTCAGTTTAATGGAGAATGAAGCCTGTGCCGTGTTTCTCAGTACATAACCAGGTGTTTGTAGTACCTTCAAGAGTGAAATTGAAAGTGTGTGTGTATTCTCAGGCGTCTTTATGCGCCTTCGCTAATCTTTCATATACACACACACTCTCACCACTCCATTTCTGTATTGTTTATCTATTTTTCTCCCTCCTCTCGTTGTGTCTCTTCTCTCCACAGGACACGGAACCTGAGCCGGGCAGCCATGGTCGCTCTAGGCGTCTCCAATTTGTGCTTCATGCTGCCTTGGCAGTTTGCCCAGTTTGTGCTGCTCACTCAGGTAAACAAGAGTGCAGGAGAAACATTGAGAGAGAGAGAGAGAATGTGGTCGGACAGGAGATTAGAGAGAATAGAGACTTGGAGCGAGAACAGGGTTCTGGCAAGGAAGCAAAGAGTTCAGAAGCTGGTGAAGATGGAAGAGGTAGGAAAGGAGGGGACGAAGAGAGGTGACATTACGAGAACGCATCAGTTCCATCCTCATTTGATCAAAGCGCTCCAAACATGCATTAGAAAAAGATATATTTAAGTTATAAAGTGGAATATTTGACACAGTTGGAAGGGCACATTCTCTCAGACAGGCGAGTTAAAGAGAGAAATGGTGAGTGAGAGAGCGTAGGCTGGCAGACAGAAGAGCCGGAGAACAAACGGGTCACTGCTGCGAGCATCTGTGCTCGGCAACAGTTTTGCCCGAGCTGTTGACGGCCCCCTCAGGGCACAGCTGCTGTCAGTGCAGGCGTTTTAAAAAGAGGCGACTTATTTAACAGCTGTTCCATCTTTGTTTTATTTTACTCAGCGGCTAATTTAACTCTTGAGCCTCATCCACTGTGTGTGTGTGAACCAGCCTGAGGACACAAAGCTGTACGTCCACCCTCACTGCACTGTTTATAAAGATGGACGACAATGATAACACCTGGTGGCTGGCTTCAGTGTAGGTTATAAACGCTGCCTTCTCCATGTTAGTAGATGGGACGTGGAACAAACCAAATAAAATCACAACAACGCCGTGTCAACACAACAAATGGCGTCAAATGGCAGATCCTGTAACTTAGATGTTTTGGCTTCATTTCTGGATAGTGGAAGACGTGTCCTCCATCTTTATAAACAGTCTATAGATTCTCAATAATATTTCTTTAGCCAGTTTGACTGAAACAGGTATGATATTGTATTAATAGCTCTTTGAAAGTTTAACTTTATCGTATCAGGTCTCGTATCAAGGAATTTTTACTCTGTTCCCTTTTTGCTGATACTGGATATTTTCTTGCTTATTTTCTCACATTATTGATTCTGTTTTTTGTGTTTTACTTTCAGGTGGCTTCTCTGTTTGCTTCGTACATCCTGGGTTACCTGGGTCCCACCAAGATGCAGTCCATCCTGGTCACTCATATGGTACAGTTCACCTCATCACAGTGTTTCATAGCTTGTTTGAATATTTTTTGGGGTCACTGGTGCATCAGGCACTGGCACTGTGAAACAAAAATTTAGGAATGCAGGAAAGAAACTATGCAAATTACCAATGTGTGCAGGTGAAATACAAAGAAAAATAGCTGCACGTTATTTTTTTTGCATCAGCATAAATGAAAAGTCTTTCCGGTCGCTGCTGCCCTCGGAGGTGTAATGCGTTCTGCCTCACTTCTTATCTCACTTGGTTCCTCGGCTGGAAGAATTTCACATGAGCCGAGAGGACGACGCCAGCAGAGACGGGGATGACTGTCTTTATTATTAACTGTGCTACTGAGCGTGCACCACTGGCTTTTCACCATTAAAGAGGGATGATATGTGGGCAGGTCGGACACTGCCAAGGACAGAAGTTTATAATCTTTGTGTCGGTGTGTGTGTGTGTGTGTGTTTTATTCCGGCTGCTCGTCCTTCTCCACATTCTTTCTCCGCTAATCCCCCAGCGTGCCCGGCTGTTAGCCAGGGCTTGTGTGCTCGGCAGATAAGGAGAAGTCCCTTTGTGGTAAGATGGTAAGATTTGTGTCAGGAGAAGACATATGGTTCTGCATAATTTAGAGAGCTTGGCGACTTCAGCTTTGCATGTGTGTCTGTGTATGTTTTTTGAAGCACAGAATACAGACACAAAACCAAGGGTGTGTCCTCTGCGACCTACAGCGTTGTTGAGCCTGTGCAGATTAAGTGAATGTTTAAAATTTAGATTTTCCCCTCAATCAATCAAGAACATGAGTTTCATTTGCAGCCCAAATCAATAAGAACATTGGTTGACCGTTAATTTTCCATTAATTAATATATGTATCTTTTCAGCCCTACAAACATTAGCCCTTTTCCACCGCCCCACTGTCGAATATAATTCAGAGGGCGCATTATTCCACTCTTCACTGTGGGATTAAGCATCAGAAAGTGAATTTAATGGGATTATTTTCTGCGAGTGGCTGCGTATTCAAACTTTAATGCACTGGTTTTAAATCTCTGGAGTGTTTTCAGCAGCACTGTCGCACAGAAAGACTCATTGTTGACGGTTAATACGATCTGATTCCCAGACCACCCTCCTGCTGTAGAGACACAGAGATGTTGTTATTTGTAGGCAGTGAGAATGAAGCTGTGTGAATCACAGGAAACCTACAGAAGCTGACTGTGCCCCTGAGCCTGCAGCCAAGCTTGTGTGTGGAGCATTGTTTCTAATTACACAGACAGATCCTGCACATGGAGCGACTGGAAACACCAGCTACTGTCGCTGTGCACAGTCACACTGTGAAGAATAACACCTCCTTCTTGTCACCACCTCCCTCCCACAGATCACACTCAGTGTCTGCTTTATCCTGATGTTTGGTAACTCCATGCTGCTCACATCCTTCTACGCCTCCTCACTCGTCTCCATCTGGGTGAGTTGCACCTGAAAGTCTGATCCGCTGAACTGCATGACCAATTGTTGAATGTCATCAGATGACATTTACCGACAAGACCAAACAAGTTAGTTGACCGCATTTGTTCAAGTTAATTCATAACAGGAGGAAATGGGCTGAGGTTAGGACAAGCAGTGATTGGAATCAGCTGTTTTGTTTGGTCTGTGGTAATGCTGGTTGCAGTTTTCTTTCTGAAACTGGAAAAGTAAAAGTAATTGAGCTGTGGTAACGAAAGACCTGCTGCTGGACAGAATCTGAAGCCTCCGCTGCTGCGCAATCAGCTGATGACCTGACTATTCAGAGTTCAGTGAAGCTCAACTCAGTACGCAGAACCATGAACTTTAGTTTCCATCGTGAACGAGCTATTGTTGTGATCAACAGTGTCACGATTGTGAAGGCAATTATTTCTGGAATTATTTAATAGACATGATTGAGAAGATGTATGTATTCAACATTTCTGGAGTTTTACTTTCTGCCTCGGTGATTTTGTTTTTCAGGCAATCATTGCACTGAGGGATCAATTTGCTAAGGTTTTCAAACCTGGCATCATCATCTGGGTACGTAGGATTCACTGCTGCCTTGTTTTTGCTCCACTTACTATACTTTTAATATTCGTCCATGATGAATGGTGTTCTTATTATATATTTATATTTGTTTACTGTGAGAAGGAAAACAATGAACGATAGATAATGAACAAAAATGTCAGAAAATAAGTAAAACAACAATATCAATATGATCTGTGCGCTTTCAGTTCATCATTGAATTGATTGTGTCTGTTACTACTCAAAGCTGTCCCTGTATATTATTACTCTACATCTGCCTCCTCTGATTAGAAATTCATCTGTATTATTGATATAGTTTTACGTTTAATCCATGTACCCATTCATCTCGTTTGATCCAGCAGAAATAACTTCTGCTTCTCGTGGTTTAACATTTAACTTTGCCACACAAATAATCAAATGTGATTAAAAAGGAGCCATCTCATATTAAATATTTGAATTCAGTATCACCTGTGTGGAACATCTGCTATTGAAAATGCAGCATTCATTTCAAACTCCTGTCTGTTAGTTAGGTTACATTAGCCAGCTCCTTTTTAAATGAACTAAAGCTAAACGAGGTAAGATAATTGACGTGGCTGAATTTGCTCTGAGCTTCTTTGGCTTCCTCACCACCCCACAGCACCGCAAGACTTTGATTCTAGGTTCCTCTCTGAGGCTCAAGTGTGTGTTTGTGTGTACGCGTCAACCTGTCAGTGTGCATCTTCTCTTCCTCCTCAGGTCATGCAGGGTCTGGCGTGGGTCGGCTCCACAGTTCTCCTCAAATTCATGTTGTCCACAGTCCTCGGTGCCTCTGATGACGTAAGTGACAGTAACTTTACACTGAATCCACTTATTTTGTGCCTCTGAGCCGGAGGCAGCTACAGGTAATATGTTCTTTAGGTTGTCTGTCATATTTGTGAATGGTTTGTTATGAATAACAAATATCTGGTTTTCTTTTCCAGGCTCACATCAGTGGACTGATCAAGTCTAAGTTCACCAGCTACAAAGACTTCCACACTCTGATGTACACGTGTGCTGCAGAGTTTGACTTCATGGAGTTGGAGGTGAGGTTTCCTTTGACCAGAATCTAGCTCTGCATCAGAGTTACACATTTATCTTCTTTGAGTCAAAGCAGCAGGAAATGCTGATAACTAAAGCGCTGTGTACCCTGAAGTCCTGTTCACTGATAAAAAGTCTCAGGTCGTCTGCTCTGAAAAAAAAAACTTAAGCTTTCAAAATGTCACAGTCTCCTGTGAAGATATAAAGATCTACCTGCTGTTTTGTATCAGAGTGTGGAGAGACTCAGATCTGTGCTCTGAATTTAAACTTCATGACAAAGCTGTTGTCTCTTTCTGTCTCACCGAACTTCACGAGACACGTTAACACTTACGACAATACTCTGAATAAAACACTGCCTTGTTTTCCCTGTTATTATTATTATTGCAGTACTCTGACCTTGGGCGCATGATGTGTCTTAATTGCATCTTAAAGTCTTATTCGTATTTTGTAACATCGACCTACGACAGTTACTTACTGCTTGACCACACGTGATCTGGGTTAGAGTGTGAACAAGATGGAAAGCTAACGAGTAAATGAAGCTTTTGCAAAATTAGAAAGAAAACACTCAAAAGGGTAAAAGGCAATATCGTGCATTTAACTATTTCTGGAGGGGCGAATGTTGTGGATGCTATTTTGAATGCTGTATCAGCAGATCATACTGGAATCCTGATTAGAGTAATGTCCCATTAATAATAATGTTAATAGTCAGATTATTGATGTCCATGTAAACCTAACCTCTGCGTCTCTGTCTTTCTCTCCCCTTCAGACGCCTCTACGCTACCTAAAAACATTGCTGCTACCCATCAACATGCTGGTGGTTGCTCTCATTGCCGGGAGGGTGAGTCCTCCCAAGGGTTTTGCACCATATGTCGGGAATAGGCGAGACTTTGGTTCATTTTAGAAGAAGAACAAATCTGACAAGAAGTGTGTGTGTAAACTCCAGAACGTCTAGTTTCAAGGCATCCTGAGGACTTTAAAGAGAGAGCAGATGTGTGAACTGAATCCTCATCACCAGCAGTGTTATCTTTTATTGAAACGCTGCAGAAAAATAAATATAAATCTTCAGAGAAGTCAGAGCATTCTGCTTGTAACCTGAGAGACCAGAACAGGGGCAAAATAACATTCCTCTCAGACGCTTGTAAAGTTTTGAGAAATAATTGAACAACAAACAGTAAACAACGTCCTGACCAACCTCCAACTGCTGGATCTAGAAAGAGGCCTTTTAAATATGGGTTATACTCTTTAATTTCAGAAAAGAGCAGTTGTCTTGCTTGTTGTCTTATGTGTATGCTTTTAGAAAACAAGTACAGGGAGATTTATTCCCTGTATCTATTTTCATCAGTGAGGGAAGATTAAATGACAGAAACACCTCTGCGTAATGCAGTTTGGTTCAACAGCGCCAAACTACATCCTTCAAAATGACAGTACTGTTGAATCAAGTTAAACAGCTTTCCATTGAAACTGAACACTGACACGTCATGAAGGTAAGATCTCCTGCTGAGTGTGTAGGTGTGTAGGATTTGGATTAGACGGCTTCAGTTCCCGCCAGATGTACCTAATAAACTGCCACAGACTGAATGTTAGGGGGGAACAAACTGCATGTCGTCTAATCTCATTATGCCTTGCCCACGCTAAGCTAAGAATACACGAGTCAGTTTGACAAAGAATGGCAGCCAATACACGAGCCAGCTGAAAGAGGTGTTTCATTCCATCAATTTTGACACCCTGTCCTCTTTAGACGTGCCAGGATGTAGTCCGGTTCCTGAGGGGCGGCGGCAAGGCGCCTGGCAAGAGTGACGATGTTGACGAAGGTGCAGGGTGAGTGACGCGATGATTTACATTAATTTAGCAACAGAATGAAATTGTGAAACAGAAGTGATTTTGAAAAAATTTTACCGTTGCAGAGTTTAAATATTTCTGTCTCTTCTGTGTTGCAGGTCTGACATTTCTGCAAAAGGAGAGGTGAGGAAAAAAAATAAAACATTTCACATCCTCTATTATTGTTAAGTTTACTCACAAACATCTTGGCAACAGCTCGGTGTGAACTTTCAGGCATTTTTACAGACTTGTTCCACTTTTCTAAACCTATTTTTATTTCATTAGATTCTTTCAGGGCATTTGCGTCTGCTCAGTTACCACAGCCCTGAGTGGTTTTCATCCCTTTTCTCATTACTAAGAAATGAAAGGCAGCTTCTCTTCTGCTATGAAATCTCACGGTGCCCCTTTTGTCCAGCTGCTTCATGTCATTTTCTTTAATATCCCTCCCAGGGCAGGGAAACGTTCTGATGTCCCTCCACCCGTGTGTGTGTGTGTGTTTGTGTGTGTGCGTTTTGAAGCTTCCTGAGTTTCCCAGATAATTGCTTTAATGTTTCTGTGGCTCGATGAGAAACTCTCCGGGGGGCGTTCTCGCTGATCACAGGAGAAACGGTGTTAAAAGCATCACGCACATGTCATTACACACAGCTTGTTCAGAAAAGCTTTTAGATCCACTTAAGAAAGCTTCTCTTACAATTTCATTGTAAACTCGGGCTGTCGGCTTCTAGAACATTACGAGTTGAAATAATTCAGAATAGAAAATATAACATATTAATGCATCCGACGTAGCACTGTGTTAAAATTCACAGCAACAAACTGCTGCAGTGAAGCTGCTGCATTTTGCATCAGTGAACTGCTCTTTGTCTCAATCCATGATTTTTTCCATCTGTGGTTTCGAAAACTAACTATTTCTTCACATTACATCACACACGGTTTGATGTCATAATTGTCCGTTCAGCGTGGCTCACATGTTTTCTTTATTTTCATCGAGAACAGGGAAAACATTGGGTCAGGCAGAGAATGGATTGATGAAATTGAAAATATAATTTGGGAATTAATATTTAATTTTGCCCACTGGCTGTTTGAATTTCAAAAAAAGAAACCTGTTATTGATTCAACTGCGTAAATTTGTCTTACATACATATTTTAGTCTGCATGACTTGAGGAAATGATGAAATCAGTTTTCACAACGCATGGTGACTTTCTCAAAGGTGAACAATTTCCATCCCAAATGTAATTTGGTTTGTATGGATGTAAAATAAGATATCCTGTACGTTTTCAATGTAAATTCCCTGTGGAGGTTTGAACCACTGTTCTTTTGTTGACACGTCATGTGCATTCAGCTGTAAATGTGAACTGCAGATGGTTGTCCTGTCTCTTTTTGCAAATGTCTTATGAGGAAAGAAATGCAATAAACATCTGAAACTCGAAACTGAAATAAAACTCCCCAGAGCACTTTTAATATTTGAGCTGAACTCAGTGAGTGTTTGATGAATTACTAAACGAAGATTGTTATCGATTTAATTTCAATTGACTCATCTTTTCATCATTACCCAAAGGAATAAGAGTCAGTTTCGAGTGAATTAAAATCAACTTTCACTCTCAAACATATCTTATACTGTATATACCTTGTTTTATCAGAGATCAGTGATGCAGTAATGTAAAATTACATTAAAGAAACGTTAATCTCGTTGTCCTCTCACGTCTTGGTTGGAGTTCTGTTCTTTGTTTAACTGTTGTGTTCAAAGTTACTGGTAGATATGTGTTGTTTAAAAAGATGTCCAATTTTGTTATTTTCTCTGCACCTTCTTGTCACTTCTGATGACTGACTGTTTGTGGATGTGTCCCCCTCCAGCTGGTGTACCACAGCCTGCAGCTGCTGGCGTTTGCCGCCCTGGCCGTCCTCATCATGCGCCTGAAGCTCTTCCTCACACCTCACATGTGCATCATGGCCTCGCTCATCTGTTCCAGACAGGTCTGTCTCTCACCTCGTAGAGAGTGACCCAGAAAACACTGTGTATTTGCTTTAATGCAGTTGTTAGTTGTTTTGGTCTCATCCATGTTTGACCTGTAAAGAGAGATTACCTCTCTGTCCGTGTTTCAGGTGTTTGGCTGGATCGGGGAGAAATTTAAGCACCAGATCTTGGTGTTTGCTGTCATGGCTGTCATGGCCGTACAGGGAGTGGCTAACCTGCAGGCCCAGTGGGGGATCATCGGAGAGTTCAGCAACCTGCCGCAGGAGGAGCTGCTGGACTGGATCCAGGACAACACCCTTCCTGGTAGGTTTTCTTTCTTTCATTAAAGATACAGGTCGAGTATCATGAGTTGTCATATGTAGGAACACACATGATGCACAGTGTAAAGAGCTGCACTAAAGAGCTGCGGCAACATCTGCTGAACTGAGCAGTTTACAGCTCAGTTTGTTTTGTGTGACGCTCTGCTGTTAATTTGCACTGCATACAAATCTCCCTTTTTCTTTGTAAATTGGAATGAGCGCTGTGAAGCTGTTGAATCCTGTCTTACACTTCAGAGAACCCAAGAAGTCACACCCTGTCAGCATTAATGACTGTCAATCACAAACTGTAGGAAACGCTCGTTTGAACCTAAACCAGGAAGTAATAATAATACAAGATGGAAGGAAACTTCAACAACTGGTGACAGAGCTGATTAAAAGACACCTATTAAATGTAGTTTTTTCTGTGACACAGATTCCGTGTTTGCGGGAGCGATGCCCACCATGGCCAGTGTGAAGCTGTCCACAGGCCGTCCCATCGTCAACCATCCCCACTATGAAGACGCTGGTCTGAGGTCAGTGGAGTTTACGTCTGAGAAACAGAAATGTGTATTGCATGTATTGTATTGTTAATATGCAGCACAGACAGAACAACAAGTTAACACTGGCCAGATTCAATCTTAAAATCCAATCAAGACGTAATTTGATCATTTCTTTTGATAATAACTGTGTTTTTACAAACTTGCTCGTTGCTTCATATAATAAGTATAAATTTAAATATGTGAAATAATCTAAAAATACTAAGTCTGGGCTGTGAGACCATTTACAAGTTTTTTAAACTTCTTCGATCTGTAATATTTCACCTAAACGTTCATGATTTGTCTGCTGCGTAAAAGCTCTTCTCTTGTTCATTGTAGTGTTGTTGTTGTTTTTTGTTCTCGCAGGGAAAGAACCATGCTGGTGTACTCCATGTACAGCCGCATGTCCGGAGAAACAGTGAAGAGAAATCTAATGCAGCTGGGAGTGGACTTCTTCGTCCTGGAGGATTCCTGGTGCACCAGACGAACCAGGTAACACGACACCTGGCAGTGACTCTCACAGTGGATCCCTGTTTCCTCTCACATTTGGATTCTGCTGCTTCTATCCAGAGAGAATGCCAAAGAGGAAACGTGAAGACGTTGCTAGACAAATAGTTTCTCTTTCTGATGAACTCTTTTCTTCTCTCTTCATCCAGGCCTGGATGCAGCATGCCAGAGATCTGGGACGTTGAGGATGCGCAAAACGTTGGTAAAATTCCCCTCTGCACCCACATTTCCAGGAACTCAAGACCCCACTTCACCACAGTGTTTTCCAATGACATTTACAAAGTTCTCAAAGTCCCCAAAGTCACCAAAGAGCTCAGATAACACTGTCGGATGGACTGATCCAGCACCAAACTACTTCTTTCCACCTCTTCTACTCTTTCGGGGTTTTTTTGTCAGTCACTGCTGTTGCTGCTTTTTAATTCCAAAAACTCAAACCCCCACAGCTCCCCTTTTATCGGAGAGAGCTGTGATTCACTGAGCGGTGGACTGATAATAGGTTGGATGTTCCTAAATAATCTGCCATGATTGACCTTGTGCTTCTCAGTATTTGTTTCTGCCACATCTTTGTTATCCAGCGACGTTCCCATAATGCTGCAGTTGGTGCCCAAGTAAAAGCCAATAGGTGTTAAAGCTCTTTTGCTTTAATTCTGTTACACAACGTCATTTATTTTCAGAGATGCTGTTAAACATCATTGTTGTTTTTTTTTTTAATACCACTCAAAGCAACACTGTAACTTTTTTTTTACGTAGAATCAGCCCATTGAAGTGAGATTGATGTTTCAGTGACTGTGAATATAACTGTAGATCAGTTCAAAAGACTCAGAAGTTTTTAAAAACCAGAGTTTATCTCCAATATTCTGCAGGAAACCTTTAAAATATGAAGAATTCTAAACAGTTTGGTGGATTTGTTAAAGCCGCCACTCCTCTGGTTCAGAAAGCCGAGGATCATGGGTAATATCCACCATATTCAGTTGTGTTTTCAGTTCAGTGAGGGAGTCCCAGTTCCACTCAATACATTGATAGACTTTGTTTTTTTTCCTCATGAAAACCACTTCATCGTTTGGACCAGAGCCCAACAGAATCAGTCACCTTGTGTGCCTGCAGATGGCGCTGTTGCTCAGTAAAAGTTACTTAGTGTTGCTTTAAGAAGTACATTTTGTCTCGCAGGACCAATCCGTGATGTCCACATACTGTGAAGCAATACCCTTTGCAAACTTGACAAAAGCTTCTATTGTTATGCACAGTGTTAAACTCTGATAAGATTTTCATTTTCCTTTCTGTAATTTATTTTGTGTGAATATTTTTATGCAAACTTCAACACGTTGAGACGTTTTTTTTCCCCCGAAGCAAACAGTGTTTTCAGACTCGTGTGAAACAGGTGAAAATTCTATTCAAGCATTATTTTTGTACTCATTGGATCCAAGTTGATTTCAATCAAGAACCTTTTGTGCAAACGTTCAGTTCTTAATTCAGTCATAAACTGGCAGAAAGAGTTTTTATGGTAAAGTGGCTTTAAGTTAACTGTGCCCTGTACCAACCTTTTTGTAAATACCCAAACAGCTGTTTTGTACAATACTGATGTTTGGCCTTTAAAAGGTTCTTTGTGTTTGTTGAATTATTGTTAATTGCCAAAGGAAGTTTTGTTATCAAAAGGCGGGTATTTTATTCTGGCACTGTAGCAGATGAACAATGTGCTTTTTGAGAACCATCAGTGTGTGAGTTCTGTAACAGCCAATCCAAACTACTTTACTGTAGCAGTGACTTTATGTACATGGTAGCACTTGTTGATTCCCTCGCTGGTTTGGACCACGATAATGATTCTTCAGTATTTTAAGAGAAATGGCTTTGTTAAAGGGAGAGTTTGAATCGACGCCTGTATGTTGAATATGAAGCTTCATCCAGAAGGCTATCAGTTTAGCATAAAGATTGGAAATGGGGAAACAGTTAGCTTGGTGCTGTCCAAAGGTTTAAAATTAAACCTCTAACTCTCACTGATTAACATGTTCCATCTCCTCCTGTTTAATCTGGTTCCACACAAATCAACACATGATCACTGAGAAGCTTGTGGTTCAGAGGGTGCGTTGGGGGGGGGGGGTCGCACTAGACCATCTCATTGCCGTTTAATTTCTTTCATGTGCTTGTAATCAGGTTTGGACACAAAAATTAAATGCCTGTCGGGTTTGGAAAGAAAATCGGGGCCCGAGCCTTCTCATTAAACTCTTAGCAAGAAAACAAACGAGCATATACAGAATTTGTTGAACCACCAGGTTTTGTTATTATCAGATTCACTGAACAATTTAAATTGCAGTCACTCATCTGTATTTCTTTCTCTTCCTCTCACATGAACTGACTTTTCTTTGCCCTCAAAACTTGGTGCCATATTTCAGAGGGAGAGTAGCAGATGTGAAGCTGCGAAGCTTTACAGAACACAGGAACTTTTTTATATCACAAATTCTATGGATGCACAGAATGAGTTAACTTTCATCAGATTTGTATTTGATAGACTGCAACAGTCTTTGTCTTCACAGAAGTAGTTCCTCGTTTTGGGAAATAAGACTCATTTGTCTTTTTAGCCAAGCATTAGATGAAAAGGTTGATGTCACTCATGCCTGGACGGTGAATACGAAGCTGCAGCCAGCAGTGGAGGTATCTGAGATTAGCATGTAGACAAAAGTCAGTGGGGAAACAGGGATTCTGTCTCCATCTGGCTTCCTACAAAAATACATGCAAGTGTAAAATCCACAAGTTGGCTTGGACTGTAAATGTGTTTCCTAAACGTTGAGCTATTTCTTTAACAGAGACGAGCTTCCATGTTGAAGGAACAAGGATTCTTCTTTCTCCTGCAGGTGCTTGAATGTAAACTGCTGCTGCAGACTCAGTTTACTCAGCATGCCCTTCACTATAATTTGTTTTTCATTTCTTTAAAAAGGCTTATTCACAGGTTTGTAACTGACATAATTTTGGTACGACACTGTATAGATGGTTTTATTGATTAAGCATCAGAGTGAGATGAGAGAACAAATAAGATTAGTGAAACTACACGTTAAAACAAAACAAATGTCACATTTAAAAAAGAGCTTCTCAGTGAGCGGCTGAACAAAACATTTAGTCCTTTAGATCATGTGCATTGGATTTCAGATCTGTGTCTTTATGTAAAGCTCATATGAGGACTGAAGATTTGAAAGTGTAGAAGTGATCTTGTGTGCCCATTTTTAAGGAGTGGTGCCGTGCGTGTCACACTTCCAGAAACACTTTGACGTAAGTAGTTGATTCCTGTTGTGTTTCGAATGTCTTTTATAATATTTGTCTATTTTGTCTGTATTTTAAAAAAATAAAATAAAACATTTGCATCAACAGTGAAGATTTTTTGTCTTTAATGGATAAAAGGACTAGATGATGCGAGCATCATAATCAAGAAGCACCACTCACATATGAGCTGCATGAATTACAGCAAGTGGATGAAGTGGTGCTGGTGGAGGGTGGAGAGAACCCAGGCTGCTGAAATTAATCTGTAGAGAGCTGGTTAAGCCTTTTGTTTTCACTCAGCTAACACTTCAACTGAGCTTGTATATCATCTGTTTCTAAATTCAAACTTTGCATATTGTTATCTTGAGCTAAATTCATCTTTTTCACATCACTGCATTAGAAATAAATTCATTTGGCAGTTTAACTTTTGAGGCTGTGCGTACAGTGCAAATGTATCCAACCACTTTCTCTCATGGTGTTGCAGAAACGGTAAATATGGATTCAGTTACAGAACAGAAGGACTGAAGCATGAGGAATGCTGCTTGTCCTTATTTTAATGGTTGGAGCAGAGGAGTTGGTGTAAACCTGCTCCACCTCCTGGCCTTGAGTGGAAAGAGACACACGGTCTCCCGGCATCATCAGAGTCTTGTATCAGCTTTTCAATCTCTCACAGAGCAAACGTTCAGTTCGTTCATGGCTGAACAGGCATGAAAAGCAAACAGCTAACAAAGTGTAACCACAGGGTGGCACCATCCTGACCCTCACACACACAGACACACTTTCCCTTTACTGCTGCAACATGTTGGATCATTAAAGGAGTTCAGTTGTTTTTTTCCAGTATAGTAACATGATAAATTAACATTCACTTTTATCAGCCCCTGTGATTCTGAAATATAGTCGAAATATTTAAATGCTAATAATGAATGAATGAAAGATTGAATTAAATCCATTAACTTAAACTAAACGGTTCCCAGTAATAAACACACACATGACTTATGAATAAAAACATCTATTGAAGAATAAATCAATTAAAAGTTTTCATGCAACAGATGTTTCCAACAAGTTTTACTTTCACTTGTTTAAAACTGTCGAAGAAGAAGAACCGGTTTCCTTTTGTTCTTCCCCCCTGAGCCGAATACTACATTTCCCACAATCCCCCTCACGCGGAAGCTGCGCAGCGCCATTGGAGGAGTTAGTTAGTGCGAGCGGCGCCGCGGAGGAGAAAGACAACGACAGCGGACAAAACACACAATGGCGACGGCAACGGCAGGCGGGACGGGCTCCGGCGGACCGGCCACCGGCCCGGTCGGCGGCGGCGGGGCAGCGGTGGGACGGAAGAAGGACGGCGGCCCGTCCACGAAATTCTGGGAAAGTTCGGAGACGATATCCCAGATGGAGACGGTGCGGCAGTGGATCGGGAAACACTACAAGAAGGTGAGCTAGCGGCTCCTCCATCGATCCCTCCGCAGGCCCGTGGCACAATGAAGCTAACTGCACCGAGCTAGCTAACGCGAAGGCTGTGGTTGTTCCCGCTGACTTTTACTTGCGTTTCGCTCAAACACTCGTTAGTTTAAAACATATTAAACTCGCCACAAAGTAGACGAGCTCCAATTTGACTCACCGAGCTGTTTACCACTTAGCTAGCTTGCCGCTAGCTAGCTAACCGTCCACCCTGCAGCGCTGCTAACAACAAGCTCAGAGGGGAAATGGCTCTAAACGATGTCTGGATAAACGCTGAAGCCTCGTTCGCTTTTATTTACATTCACAGTTTTTATCTGTTCATCGTAAATTTACACCTCACCCCCTCACCAGTGCTGCTAAAGGCCCGAGTAGCTAACCCCAATGCTAGTCACGGGACAGCATGCAGTCAACTTGCATGTTAGCCTGATAAGACCCACACCTGCCTCCTATTCCCGCTCAAAATGTCTCTCAGCTGAGAACAAATAATACGAAAACTTTTAGATTAGTTCATTTTGGGCTGAAGAAGAAGCGGCGAGAGTTTATTCAACTTAACAACAAACCCGCTCTGTGCTCATGCTGCTCCAGAGTTAGCCAAACAAAGAGTGGTCCTCCGGTCTCCTGACGTCAAGTCAATCTGCGCTCACACTTTAGATAACAAGAGGCAGCAAAGGTAAATAAAGGGACACACGTGTGGTTGGGGGTGCAGTGGATGAAGGTGCATATTAGACATTTAGGTGCATATTAACATGTCAGGTGAGCTAGCCTGGATGAGGTGCTCCAGGTTGTTTGTGTCCAGTAGCTTCACGTTGTACAGATTCATTCATTCATCTGTATTTATTTTGATGTAAATAAAAGAGAAATTATACATACAGTGAAGGGGGGGTTAATTAAGTATAAGATTAATTATCTTAAAGTTACATTTAAACTCATACACCTACATACTCAAAATCAAAATATAAGCAAATTTGCATTGTTATTTATAGCAAAAAGAGAGGAAGAAAAATATTACTGAGCAAATAAAGAAACAGTACCTGTGCAAACACCAAGTGACTCTCTAATCCCCTCTTCATCCCTGCACCTTGTGGACATCATATCTTTGTACTTTCTTTTAAACTGGGTTATGTTTGGACATTGTTTTAACTCTTCATTCAAACTGATTTAGGTTCAAAAAACTCTCCTGGTTGTTAATAATAGACTTATTATAGTATTTATATTCAGCCTTGAACAGATGAGTTAGATGTGAGAAGTGGTTCTCTTTGACATTGGTTTTTTTCTGTGCCACACTTTCTCTTTGCTGTAGCCAGAGTGATATTTCTTTAACCATAATATCAAATATTTGCTGTTGTTAGCTCTTCCAATTTTGGAATGTCTTGGTCACGATAAGACTAATATCTTGGTTATTTTCATAGTTGCAGTATTTTCTGCCGTTCTTCGCAAATAGTGTTTTTCCTTACATTGTTGATATTGTAATTGTGGTACTGCCTTGCTTGAGACAAATTGTGTAGCTTGAAATGTCTGCGTTTACCATTTCTACTAGTGTGAGTGAGTTAATGAATATTTTTATATCTGTCTGGTCCCAGTATGTCCAGAATGATTCCCCCTCCAGTAAATCCTTGGCGGGCCTGGTTGTCCAGCTGCTGCAGTTCCAGGAGGATGCGTTTGGACGCAGAGTCAACAATCCTGCTCTTACCAAGCTACCTGTAAGCACACACACACAATCATACATCTCCATTATGTGGTGTTTGTGCTTGGTAACACTTGCAGCAGTAAAAACCTGTGGTCAGCATACGCTAAATGGAGAAATGTCGTGTCCCTTTTCGTCCTCTCCTATTTTCAGGCAAAATGTTTTCAGGATTTCAAGGCAGGAGGTGCTCTCTGTCACATCCTGGGGTCTGTCTACAAGTTCAAGAGTGAGCAGGGCTGGTGAGTTCACTTGTAGTTTACCTCCACAGACACAATTGCTGTTGATCCAGAGTTTCATCCTCTAATGGTCATGATGTTTAATCCCTGTGGCCCCTTTTCTTTATTCAGTTTCACTCAATCTGGAGAATAAATTGTATTCGTGGAAGTCCTTAAATTATGTATATTATTTTATTTCATCAAACAATTGTTTTGTATTTTTGGATATTGATTGCTAAGGATGAAAAATGAGAATGTTGCATTGCTCTGTAGTTATTTTAGCAGTAAGCCAAAACAGGACTAGGTACCTTTTATTACCCGGATTTAAACGTTGGAACAGCTTGTAGCAGGTAATGCTCAAGGAAATGATATTTTAATTCTTAATAATTACTAAAATGTAGTTTAATTTGAGTACAGCATCATTTTGTTGCCCTTAGTAATTTCTGCCCACTGTTCCCAGGCGTCGATTTGATCTGCAGAATCCTTCCCGGATGGACAGGAACGTGGAAATGTTCTTAAATGTTGAGAAGAACTTGGTTCAGGTATGATCTACTCACTCCACACACAAGCTTCGAGTGTTTTCAAACTGGCTGATGAACTTAAACCAGAATAAAGACTCTGCTGCAATCTCTGGATGATCTTCTTGTCTTCATTTAAACAAACGTGATGGTAACATTTTAAAAACTAGTTTATTTTTACATAGGCTTCATTTTATACCATCATTTCAAATAAAACTAGCTGATGTTGATAAATCATGTAATTTATAATATTTACAAAAATCGTGTTATCTTAGTAAAGTAATGGGAGTTTACCAAGCGGCATCAGATGCAGACAGTTGGGGTATCGCAGCTACGTTGTCCTGTATCGCAGTGAGATTGACTGTTTTGCGGTTTAAGCCTCTCTGATGGTTTCAGTGTCTTTATAACTGCAGTTTGATGTTAATGTTACCTCTAAGCAGTTTTAACCAAACTGGTGAAATGGATTGACAGATGAGTGCTGGATGTCCCCTACATACATTTTGGGATACAAATATTGTTTCTGATTCTAACTTATTGTCTCTGTACTTTTAGAATAACTGCCTGACTCGACCCACTGTCTTCCTGTCGCCGGACATCGAGCAGAAACAGGCCAGTAAGCTCAAAGACATCATCAAAAGGCACCAGGTGAGCTCCGACCTAATTCATAAAAAACTAACCATTGAAAATATTTCTCAGATACGTAGAATTGTTTCAAATGTAAAACTCTTTACTTTCTTTCGACCTCAGGGCTCGATTACTGACGATAAATCAAAGGCCACCCACCACATTTACCCCTCACCATCCCAACAAGACGAAGGTAGAGACTTGACTGTAACTTCTTTAGTACAAATTGCCAGCGTTTTATTAATTGTAAACAACAAACGGTGTTTTTCTGTATGAAACACTCATCACTGGTTTGTGTGCGTTGCAGAGGAGTGGCTTCGGCCTGTGATGAGGAAAGACAAGCAGGTGCTGGTGCACTGGGGTCTCTACCCAGACAGGTAAGCAGAGAATGTGTCCTCTCTAACAACCGCAGACTTTGGTTCATGAATGATGAGCCACCGTAATACATCTTTTTGTTTTTTTTTTCTTTGACTGTCATTACATCATCAAACAGTTTTCTCGCTGCTAAAAAGTTGGATTTGGATGCTTGAGTAGATGGTTTATTTTATTATTTTACCAAAAGTATTCAACAACAACTAAACTCAAGTTAGTATAAGATCTAAGAGATAAGTTTAAGACATATGTATTGTTGGTCAAGTTGTTTCGAAGATTTTTTTCTTTGTTAATAGAAAACAATATTTAATAGTAACGCTGAACTAAACGCCCCAGTAACCAAACTTCTCTCAGGTGAGGAAAATATTGTCAAGTGATCCTTATGTACTGTTTTTTTCTTTTAGCTATGATACCTGGGTATCAGCCAGCGAGGTGGATGGTGACGTGGAGGATCCTCCGAGCACTGACAGACCCTGGAAGGTGAGTATTAGGTAGAACAGGCAGAACTGAACTAGACAGTTTTGAAGTGGTATTGTAAATGAATAAGTTAGCAGCCAGTTTCATATCCTGTCATTTATTCGTATTTATGATATTTTTCTTGATGAATTTTTGTTCCGAACTGAATTAAAAAACAACATGACAACCAAAGAATTTTCTGCAGTCTTGACTTGATAAAATCAGGGCAGCAGTTTCAGGGGAGGTTTAGATTACTTGAGTATGATAAATAATAAATGATAAATAAACAACTTGCCTCAACCTCTGTGTGCTTCTTCCTCCCCATCAGGTTCACGCCAAGTGGGTTTTAGAGACAGACGCCTTCAACGAGTGGATGAACGAAGAAGACTACGAGGTAGACGAGAACAAGAAACCAGTCAGCTTCCGCCAGAGGATCTTCCCCAAAGAGGAGGAGGTAGATATTTGATTGTGTGTGTGTGACCCATAGCTTTACTTATTCCTTTTATTGAGAAAATTTCATCCCCAGAGAAATTCTCAGCACTGGTCCTCCAGTAGAAATTCTCACTTCAAAATGGAAGAACAGAATTCACATCAAATTGAAACCAGTCAAACACAGTTCATGGGTGTGGAAAAAGTTGGTGATGGAATTTTTTTAACTGACAAAATGAGCATGAATGTTTCAGAGTATTTTTTGCTGCACGCTTGTTTTGTTGGATTTGTCTTTGCCCTGTGGACTGTGCATCCTCCTTCGTCTTTGTTGTGCCTCTGTCTGTTTGTCGCTCATCCTTTCCAAAGCTTTCCTCGCTCTTTGTCTCCTCCAATGTCTTTCAGGGTTTCTGTCCATTGTTGGAAAATAATTTTCAACATTATCCAGGATTTTAAAATTAAGAGAATGTGCAAGGCATATTGAATAATTCTTTTAGTTTAAAGACATGCGTTTCATTTCAAAAAAAGACATTTTATTAAATTATTTTGTCTGTTACAGATAATGGAGGTGTCAATTAACATGAAGCAAACTGGCCTTGAAAATGTTTAATTGTAATTTAGGATAATAAGAATGATAAGAGACATTTTTCACTCAAAGGTGATGCATTACTTTCATTATGTGGCCTAAAAAGTTAGTGAACAACTAATCCAACTATTATTTAAACTAACTTTAGAAAAGTTTGGTTGCTTAAGAACATTTATGGAAAATAAATATTTCACCACAGAACTTGAGTTGAAGGTTTATGTGAAAGAGAAGCTACTTTAAAAGTACACAGGAACCCTGATCATGTCCACCACCACAGCATCCCCCCTCCCTGCCGTCGCTCTCCCAACGCTTCCCCTCCTTGTGTGTGCAACCGTTCCATCCTCTCATTCTGCCGCTCTTTCTCTCATCCTCCATCCCTCGCTCCCTGCGCTACACGGGGTTTGTCTGATCAGTCTTCCCGTACACCCGATCGCAAGGAGCGCAAAGCCAACTCTGCCGGCAAGAAGAGGAGGCGCTCGCCCTCACCGCCCAGTACTCCTGCTGAGTCTCGCAAGAAGGGAGGAAAGAAGGGGTAAGAAGCCCACGTTTTAATATTTCTTTTAATATAACGAAATGCTAGTGAGCTTGGAAATAAATAAAAAGTGTTTTCCTGTTGTGTAGCATTACATAGAGCTAGCTAAAACGATTGGTATTTGGCAATATTCCACACTGGGAAGTCCCACGAGGGAAACAACTATGTGCAAAGTTTTGTGTTCTTGAAAGGGTTTAACCGGCACTAGGCCTTACAAAAGTGACAGCAACCATCACTCCCATACAAAGTTAGTAACAACAGCTGTTAAAATACACCAGTATTGGATCAGTCCTGTACATATGACAGCAGAGCTCCTCAGCACACAGAGACGAGATATATCAGTCCTGTATATCACAGGCGATACTTGTTGACAAGATGAAATGATTTCTAAAGCACAATATGCACAAAATTTCTATGTCCTTTGTTATAGTGTATTGACTTTAACTGACTCATAACATGGTTCACTCTCTGGTGTCAGGAATCCCGGGCCTCACTGGAAGCGACGAGGCCACAGAGGCGAGGAGGAGGACACAGAGGAGGACATGACCAAGGACTTAGACGACTCGTCGGCTGGTGCCAGCTTGGAGGAGGGCAGCGTGTCCAAAAATGGTACGTGTATTTTGGGAATGAGCTGAAACATTCTGTTGCAAAGTTGTATATCAGCCAGCGTGTCCTTATCAATTATTGTCTTTTCTGGTGGGTTTCCTTGTGTGGTTTTTCTTTGTTGTTGTGTTGTTGTTGTGCACTGGGGCACAAGAGTGACTAGAAAAATCCTTGGAAAAATCCAACACACTCAGACAGAGCTCCAGTCACAAATTTAGGAAAACGGCCTGAGGATGTTCTTTTTTAACAACCACAGAAGAATGAAGCTTGATCTGAAACTCTGCCTCTTCTCTTTAAAAACCAAATACACAATGCTCAGTAAAAATCAGTTTTTAGACCAGGTCCCCTCTGCAATGTCCCACTTTCACCAAAATCTCCTCCTTTTTCATTCCAACACACACACATACCCGTTCTCACTCAAATCTATTTGAGTGTCCTCAGCAAACCAGAGTGCTGCTTAATGCCTTCGTACCCACAACTGAATTAGACTCTTTTTTTCACGATTCGTCGACTTCAACATATTTATCTCCTTTTTCTTCCAAACACAGCAAGTTCAAAGAAAGACAGCGAAAATACTCCGGTGAAAGGAGGGAATGTGGCCGACTTGGGTATGTATTTTTGACATGTTGTTTTTAGTTGTCAATCAAAAAAAACTGATTATTAAAGTTCAAACAAGCATCGTGATGCATCCTCACTGAAATGTGTTTTTATCTTTTCCAGATGACATGGAGGACGACTCTGTGCTGTCTGGTGGAAAGGTAAGATGACTCTGTCTAACCAAACAGGTGTTAACCTTTGCTCAGGGCAGCTATCAATATTTATACATGGTTTCTGATGAGTTTAATTGTCAGAATTTTAGGCCATGTACTAGGTTTTTA